GCCAGAATCTTTCAGGCCAGTCTTCAGAGGATAAGTGGTTTGAGTCCCAGCCTTAATAGAATTGTTTTGACAGGTAAGTTTTATATTATAAAGCAAAGGTGTAATTTAAGATTGCTTCATAATCATAGGTTACAAATGAGATTCAGAAGGGAATACAGATTAAAGATGAGGGTTGTTCTTCACAGCTCCTTTTTTTGTCTTTTCTTACACCTGGAGATGATTTTCCACAACAGTATTAGTGATTATTATTGGCGTGGCCCAAGTCTAGACTGCAGCCATGTTGGAGCTGGGAACTGACCTGCTGACACGAACAAGCTGTGCACATACTAACCCCGCCTGGTGGAAGCTTGGACTCAGAACAACTAGATAATTTAAAGAACCTTCTAACGTCACTCCTTTATCCAGGTGCAAAATGATATGTCCATGATGGACTAGTCGACTAGGAGACAAATAAGTGAAAAGCCTGATTTTTTTTTAAAAAAAAACAACAAACATTTAGCTGAGCCTAGAATCATCCTCAAACATCTCAGAGGATTAAAGGTCCAGACAATTGATGTTCTGTCTTCATCTGGACATGAGTCAGTTTTTGATGCAGTAGTGGTTTCTATGTTAAGAGGCAGTGATTCTTTGAGGTGGTCCTGACTCCTGACCTCCACTAACATCATGGGATGATGGAGTCAAAAGGGAAAGGAAAGTGAACTACTTGTCATTGTGACAAAGCACACCACTACACAACGAAATGTGAACCATCACACCATAACCCATTACCAAAGTGAGAAGGGGGCAGCTTGGTACTCGAGAGAACACACACACACACACATTGTCCAAACCATGGATACAAAAGATCATCAATCCATCCATCCAACAATTCATCCAATATCCATTCATCCAGCATCCAGCCATCCAACAATCCATCTATTCATCCATCCATTCATAAATCCATTCATTTGTCCATCCAATGTCCATTCATCCAACAATCTACTCATCCATCCAACATTCATCCAGCATCCAGCATTTCACCCAACAATTCACTCATTCATCCACGATACATTCATCCAACAATCCATCCATCCATTCATCCATCTGTACAGCCAACATCCATTTTTCTAGTTCATGTTATTTGTGTTTGTGTCAACTTCTCATTCCACATTCCTAAGTAGAGCAGAGAAGTCGGCAGCCGGATTCAATTATTTTCTCTGTTTCCCCAGGTTGTATCTTGGGGCTCAGCTGGACATCAAAGCAGTCTGTTCAAGTACGAAACCAGGTTCAGTGCCAACGACCAGGATAATAACAACTGTGACCACTGCAAGTGTTCTATGGCGCTCACCGGAGGTCAGAGGTTCTCATGTTTTCATGATCCACCAACATCCGGCCGCACTACAAAAACCTAAACGTTACAAAATATAATAAGAAGATACAATTAAACATTAGGTTTAATGTCTTAGGTGATTGGTTAAAAAATTTAAACCTGGTAAAAAAGACCTGAATTCAGAAGAACAGGGTTATTCTTTGACATCAAAACAACAAATTGCAGAACAAGTTTGAACGTCCCTGCAGTTACACTGATCTTCTCTCTCTCTTCTCTCCAGGTTGGTGGTTCGATGCCTGTGGTTTCTTTAATAGCATCCAGAAAGTAAATAGAGTCAAGTGGCACCACTCCAGAGGCTCCAGGTACTCAGAGGCTCCAGGTACTCCAGGGCAGTGGTGGCTTAGTGGTTAAGGAAGCGGGCTTGTGTCCAGAAGGTCTCAGCTGCCAAGTTACAACTGCGGTGCTCTGAGCATGGCACCGTCCCCTAACACTGCTCCTCGGGCGCTCAAAGCTGCCCACTGTTCACTTTGGTGATGGGTCACATTTTGTTGTGTGCAGTGGTGTGTGTCACAATGACTCACACCATGATTCACTTTCCTTTCCTACGTTGCACCTCTGTGATGGTACAGCCCTCTGGCTATTAACAGTAGTGATGTGCGGATCGATCCTGAAATATTGATACTTCCGATCTCTGGATCTTTATGCTCTGAAATCGATT